TCAGCCCAGATGAACTGAGTCAAGCTCGTGCCGTCTTGGGAGCAATCCAATGGAGAGTTCAACAGACTGGACCTCAACATGCGGCTAAGCTCTCATTGCTCCAGTCAGCGCTTCCTAATGGCACCAAGGAGACCCTTCACCAGATCAACAAGCTGGTCAGAGAGGTCTATGCTCAGAAAGACCTTTCCATTTCTGTCCAGCAGCTCGATGCAGTGGCTGACAAGGACCTGGTGATGATCGCCTGGACGGATGCAGCTGTGGGCAACCGCCCCGACCTCAGTTCCACAGGAGCCTATGTCGTAGGATTGGCTCACAAGCAGATCTTGGATGGCGTGCGCAGCCCAGTGAACCTCATTTCATGGAAAAGCGGCAAACTGCCGCGGGTGGCACGCAGCAGCCTTTCTGCTGAGCTGCAATCTCTCGCCGAAGGAAATGATGAGCTGATGTTTTGCAGGGCACTATGGTCAGAACTTTTAGGTCACGACCTTTGCCTTGAAGACCCTGCGGCCAGTGTCAAGAAGATTGATGGCGCTTTGGTGATCGACGCCAAGAGCGTTTTCGACGCCTACCACAAAGGCGACGGAGCTTCCTCTGCCTTCAGCATGAAGGACAAGCACAGTGCCTTGGAGTTGCTAGCCCTGCAGGATAGCATGGGCCGGAACTCAACTCAGTTGCTTTGGGTATCTTCGGATGCTCAACTGAGTGATGGCCTCACCAAAAGCAGCGCCCAAGATGCCTTCAAAGCTTTCATGATGAAAGGCCAGCGCTGGAACGTACGCTTTGATCCTGGCTTCGTGGCAGCCAAGAAGAAGAAGATGGCTACATCCACGCCTTTGCCACCTGAGCTGTGGGACCACGAGCTGATTCCTGAGAGTTGGCAGAATCTCATCAGCCAGAGGCGCAACGCTTCGGCAAAGAGCTTTGGGGCATGTAACTTTTTCTGCTTTGAGCATGAGAGGCTGAACGCATTTGCCTCCGCTCGACGCCCTGGCTCAAATTAGGAATTCCTTTGGCCGATTCCTCCTTTTTCGGAGGACCTCGCTACGTGTTTTGTGCCATAGGCCAAAGTGGCCTGGCGCTCACGACTACGCCCTTGCAGTGGCGGCGGAAAACCTTTGGAGCTTGAGAGCTGTTTGCTAGTTGAAAACTACACCCACCTCTTTTTGCTCGACACCTTTGCCAATTTTGTCGTTACCAGTTCACCAACGAAAGCATGGCGAGTCGTATACATGATGACTGCTCGACTGTTTGAAAGGGGAAACCACCAATGCTTCAAAAGCACTTTTGCCTGAAATGATCGCAAGGTGCAACAAAAGGACACGCAATATTCCGAACTTCTGCTTCATTGCCTCTACTTCTTGGCTCCACAAACCACAAAACCAAATCCTGCCATGTCTGTACTCATGTCTGGTTCCTTCGGGTTAAAAACGCTCGCTTCGTCCGATCAACCCTCGATCGCGACTTCAAAAGCAAATGGTGCTTACTGATCATGGCTGAAGCATCGTTAAGAACTAAGCGATGTGTGTTTGGAATGCCTGTGGGTGAGTGATCTATGCGATTTAAGTCTAAGTAGAACAATGTGAAACATCATTGGCTATGAATCCGCAACACATGGCAGGACATTGTGATGCATTACCTGCGTGTGTCATGGTAGTGTTGAATCTAGGTCGCCCTAGGGTTGCATCGCATGACTGGCCACTCTACACAACACAACTTTGCAGTCCTTACATCGCATGACTGGCATTGCATCACCTTACCCTGCATGAGCGGCTGGTGATTGGATGTGTTCCGTGACACTTGTGCACTTGCCATGTCACCATGACACAAGACTCATCGCATGGCAATGGTCATGCCATTTGGACTCAGCATGCATCATGCATCAGGTCTTTTTTTGTTCTCTCTCTCTCTCTCTATCTACTAAAGACAAATCTCTGCTCTCGGGGCCCCCCGTTCTGATTTCAGAAGAGGAGAGCATTCCTTGTTGGACATGCCGCTGAGGAACTCGCCCCACATGCAGCCCAGAATTCAGATATATCCAAGGTGTAGTGATGTTGTGCCTGGTAGCGGGCTGTTTCACAAAACGAACATCACTGACAAATACTCCATCACTGGGGGATCATTTGGAGATGGGGCAAATCACAAACCACTGATTTTGCCTAAGAAGACCTACTTCTGGCCACCAGATCCGTGAGTGGCTCGGCGGCCAATCACCCGAAAGGCCACGCACGCTCGTGAGCATTTGGTCATGTAGGCAGCGATGAGTTGTGCCTCGAAAGGATCCTTTGCTGGAAACCTCGAGACTTCTCCCCACTGGAGTAGAAATAGATCTAACAAAATATCTGGCGATCTTGGGGGCCTACCGCACCAAGAAGCTCGGCCCGGCAAAGGTGTTTCCGTCTGACCACCGAACGGCAAACAAAAGGCTTCGCGTGTGAAGCAGCAGAGGCAAGCCCTGACCTGGCCTCTTCGCTAGGCGCTGCTGCTCTTCGCAAAACTTGTCACAGTCGGTTTCCGCTCCAAAGAAGACTGGTCGCCCCGTGTAGAGCTCCAAGGCTTCCAAACGCTCCAAGAGTTGCGTCTCGCCCTCCAGAACCATTGTATCATAGGCATCCTGGAGTCGAATCTGATGAAACCTACATGGACACATCTTTTGGGAAGCAAGGCCTCCAAAAGACCTTGAAAGATGCATTTTCTCACGATTTCGTGACTGGCATCCCTTTTGAGACATGCTCCTGCTCTTTCTTTTGATTGCGCCCAGAACACCAGAAAGCCTAATTTGGTACAAAGCGATCCACCGCATCCACCAATATCCCGGTTGAATGCTCCGAATCGCTTTTCAAACTGTTCAGTTGAGCACGGAGGGCGGAAGGCCCAGCAGTTGAAGGCCCATTCCCACCTTCGCAAAACGTATGGTTTCTTGAATTCTTGACGCAACACCTTGGCCATTCCCTCATGCGCTTTCAATGTGTCGACGGAAGCAGTTGCAGCAACCAATTCTGCCGTTGAAGGAAGACGTCCTTCACCACCTGGAACACACAAGACGTTCTTCGTATCGTGGTCTTACCAATCACGGTTCCCAGGTGATGCAAGACTTCGTCCATCGCATCTCGCCATGACCGTCCCTTCTCGGTTTGTGGTTTTTGACACGAAACCCCCTGTCGATTCAAGCGAATCAATGTGCCACGACACCAGGAAGAAGACAAAGTCGCAGATCTGCGATGGACCCAGACGCTTCCAGAGATACTCTCGATAGGCCGGAAGCTTCTTCCAGGGCGGCCAGCTGGATCCTGGAGTAGTGCAACATGCTGATGAATCTAAGGACCAACCACGGGGGTCTGCTTATTTGTATAGTGAAATCATCCTTTGTATGTACATCAAAACATTATATATATATATATACATATATTAATATATATATACAGTATATAATATGTTGGTGCAGCGAAGTTCAGACAAAAATGTGATGCTCAAAGAGTAACAATGGTTTGGAAAGGAACAGGCACGTTCGGCAGAACCGTTGGTGCGGTTCTGCGGAAAGAGCAGCTCAATCCCTCCAGAAGTTGGCCCAGCCAAAGCCCCTCTACAAGGTGGAACAGCAGGACAACAGGCTAATACCATGATGTTAACAAGGGTGGGCCGGCCTCACTCTCCACCCCAGGGTGCCCAGGGGCAACAGGGCAAGGGTGTTCCTCTCCTTGACCATCATCCAATAGGACGACACGACCCAGGTGGAACAACGTTGAAGCTAAGAACGGGAGCATTGCGACGTTGATTTCCTGAGAACTCGACTCGGCATGATAACCAGAGCGAGTTCGGGCCATTAGAGCGCTTGCTGGTTTTGCCACTGTCACAGAACCCCAAGGATTTCAATGATGTTCTATTCTTCGCAACTACCCAAAGGAAGTGTGTTCTTCATACCCCAACTCCATAGCGAGCCATTTTTTGTGGGTTTTCTGCGATTGAACATCTTTGCACCTTCTTGCACCACATCTCTTTTCTGATGATCACCCTCGTCCGTTTCGCAACAGCATCACCGAATTCCCTGGCAAGACTGACAGCCACTGACGGCCAGAAAACATCCACCTACCTGGTCACAATCGGCGTGACCCACTCGAATCGGAGCCCAGCAACACTGGCAAAGGTGGCCACATGAATCTGTGCCGATGCCTTGTCACAGCTCACGCGCCCAGCAACATCGCTTCGAGCCTCGCTGCCTCAGCTGCTCCATGGGAAGGCGGAGCGTCATAAGGACTTCAAAACCCAGCCGCCCAAGAAAAGCAGTCAGCTTTGACCAAAACATTCGAGGCCCAGCCACCCAAGCAGCCGTAAAGCAGCGTCAGGAAGACAACGAGATGGGTCGCCATGAGGCGCGCATCGATCGAGGAGAAAGGAGGCAGATAAACCCGGAACCAGCAGAAAAGAAACATTGCACTTGCTCAGTTCCATTCGGAACTTTGCCCAGGTTCTATTGTTTTTCCAGGTTCTCCACCCCAAATCCGACCAGGGTGCCGGTCCAGTTTGTTTCAACTAAAGGTCCACAGTGTTCTGCATTATGTTCTTCATGAGCTTCGGTCTTGATGCTGTGGCCAGTGGCCACAGCGCACCGAGCGCGCCCGACCGTGCGGGCCCGATCCGCTCTCGGGAAACCGACGTTGGTTTGTAAAGCTGTTCGTTTGCACCAGTGCAAACCGAGAAAGGATGAGAGACCTGAACTAGGACCCTGTAGTGGTACATATTGGGATGGGCTATAGGGGATGTTCAACCTCTCTAGGAAAGGTGCTAGGCATGGGAGTCAGTACGGTCTTCGATTTGATCGCCAGCCTTTCAGCTACCCGGCTGCGTGGAGAAAGCACCGGTGAAAAATCATCACAACAGCAAGGAGTCACATCTGGAGGACTTCCTGCTTCCCACTGTGCTGGCCTTTTTGAAAGTCGGATGGTATGTGGTTCACCAAGACTCGAGTTTCATAGGGGCAATGTTCATGCCTAGCTTGTCATGTGCTTCAGACCATGACCAGGCTTGGGACCTTCAAATGTGCGAAACCGCAACACCGAAAGATGGTGGCTCAAAGGAAAATTATTCTGATCAGCTTTTCAGTGCCAAGTAGTGTCAAGGAGAATCACAAGTTGGCCAGAGGACGTCCTTCTTGCATCCCACTTATATACATCTTGCTTTTGCCGGCAATAAGCCAAAAACTGGATCTCAATAGCTCTAGCTCCCTTTCCTGGCCTCTCAAGCACTCTAGACTCTAGAAGTGAACTGACCCACAGCAGAATGGCTGAATTCAGAACTTTCTGCAGTGCTGTGCATTCTTCTCCGTCCTGTAGTAGCTCATTTTTGCGTCCCCAAATCACATGTCGACGGAGACACGGAGTCACTCACACATTTCCCGGGTGGCGGCGACGGCCTCCTGGCAGCCGCTGATGGGGCAGGAGGCCAAACCACATGGGCCCCAGAAATGGTCCAAAGTTCTGCTTTCTTCCACGCCTGAAAAAACATACGCATCTCGCCGGAAAAAACCGAGCAAATGGCGCTAGGTACTACCTCCCCCCAAGGGGCAAAGCCGCCTTTCTCGTGGTCTTTCTCATCGTCCGACGTGCCGCTCTCCTCTCGGTCGGGAGGTTGCTTCGGGCGACCTGTCCCTCACCAGGAGGAGAAGTCGAAGTCTGTTCTGGCACGCTTCGACCTCGATGTGCCGGCGATTCTTCGTCACAGTTCCGTTCGGACGGCCCCCAATATTCCTGAAGACTGCTCCAGACTGCTCCAGGTCATTACAGTGGTTTGAGAATAGATAGCACAAGGGCCCCCAAGTTCGGGGGTTTATGCGGATCCCATCTAAAAGACATCTTCTGAAACCACTGTATTTTGTTGGGGGAAGCCGCTTCTGACTTTTGGAACAAAGCACACGCCCGGAACCACACGGAAACTAGCCATTGAGCCATTTCATGTGATTCCCTCTTGTTGAGGCTTGGGACAGTTGGTTGGATCTGCATTACAATCAAGAGACCACAACCAATAGGTATTCCTTCATAGTCACAGTCTTCATCTACTTCTCAGATTACCACGTGTAGCTGGCAACGTCCCACAATCGACACACTTGGTTGGTCGTGGTGGACTCAAACAGAAGAGATCGACAGTTCTTGGGTCAGCAAGTCTGCCACTTGCAGAACCACTGGCACCAGGATTCCATGCCGGTCCGGTCCAACCGACCCCATTGCATGTTCCCTTGACCTGCTTGGATTCAGAAATGACCAGAGATCCCGGTATCCCAAGGCACAAAACCAGCATTTAGAAAGAGGTTGGTGACCCATAGATACTTCGGCATGTGAGAAGACCATCAATGATGTTTGTATATATATATATATATATATGAAGATCACTGAACATCGAAGGAGTTCCGTTTAGACATCCCCTGAAGTGAACCTGCCCAGAACCTTCCCAGAAGTCCCAGTCCCAGTTCGTCCTGAAAAACGGGTCTTACAGACTCAAGACAGACCCTCGTGGATCCTGCTCGGTCTTCTGTGTGAGTTCACCCCTTAGAGCTTGTGGGGGTATTTACTACTGACTGGTCACATTCTCCTTGAAGATATGTCTCCGCCTCCCGCGGTAGCGAACCACATCTTCCGACAAAGAGTCTGTTTACCCCGTCATCCCTCGGCCGCCATGTGTTCAGTGTCTGACTTCTGGGTGATGTTCGCGTATTCAACCTCTTCCTCCGGCATGGCCTTGCGCAAGTCGCCCACTAATTCAAACACTGGGGATCAACGATTCGTGGACCCGCCTAATCTGTCTATGTGGATAGTGGTAAGCTGAAATATGCTGAAAATATTCCCTTCGCATTGTTGCAAGCTTTTGCCTGAGGCGGCTGAGAGTGGCTTTTGCAGGAGTGCCTCCTTCTCGTGAGCGTCCCATGGATCTTCAACAAACAATGCTGGCGGTTGCAGGGTTGCTTGCTTTCCAGGGCCCAGATTGGCAAATAACTGCATGCGATCATGGAATGATGGCCGTAACCGGAGTTCCTTTATTTGCTGATGGACCTGGGTGAGACCCCATCTCTTCCTCTGCACCGGTCACCACTCTCGTGCAGCAATGAGAAGAAAAGGGCTGCTGGAGAGCGAGCTTGACTGGGAGACCAGACTGGATGTGACCAGACTGGATGTGACCTTAACTGGAGGGTAATTCTACGGTTTCTTCGGTGAGAGGCAAAGGCAAAGGCTGGGAACTTCGGACACCGAAACAGAACCAGGCCGCCTCGGGGCGTTTGGACTGCCCTGGAAGGGCCGGCAGTTCATCCGGCAGATACTTCCCAACCTGCCACGTCCGGAGGGGCGCGGAGAACCCGGTATCTGGTCCCAACAGGGTCACGGGAGGGATGACATTTGGTGGAAGACGTCGTGAAATCAGTAGCGTCCTTGTAGGGTCCTAGTAGCGTCCTTGTTCCTAGTAGTAAGGCCAGGAGCCCCTAGTA